ATTGAATCTGATCTTGTTCCATCCTGTGATTTATCAAAATGGAAATCAACCCAGATTTGTAATTTAGTGGGTGGGACTAGTTGCTTACATCACTTACCAACCAGCCTTCTGCAGGAAACAAGAATTAATAAGCTCCAGAAGGAGATGAATGACCTCATGGATCTCAGTCTTTAACCACTCCTCAGCTTCTGGAGTTCTTGTTCCACTACACTATTTTTCCTCTGAGGCTTACCAGACCAAACAAACATGGGGTATGTTTCTTCAGTCAAAGTTCTAGGATGAAGGATCCCAAAAGAATTCTCTGAACCCTGCATGCACAGAAATATCACGTGGGACAGAATTTGATAATGGTGGAAAATTATTCCTCACAAGGCTACCACATTCAATTTTTCACATCAAATTAATTTTTTGTTGGGCTTAGTTTGCAAGTCTCTGATGGCAAAGTGTCTGAATATTCATTTCTGGTCTGTTTAGATCTACTACAACATGTCAGTAAACACAAGGGATCTCCCCAAAGGATGGGCACTCACAGAGAAAGGGATGCAGGTGAACACATCCTTCTCGGACACCACGTCATCAATCAAGCTCCTGTTTTCCCCTTGATACTCGAGTGTGGCACTCAGCGTCACAGACTCGTTCAGGTGGGTCAGCTGAACACAGACCTTCTCAGGAGAATCGGTGTGTATCAGAAAGGGCAGTAGCACCATATACTGCCTAGGAAGAGAGGGAAGGAAGAATTAGAAGGATCAGAAATGTGAAACAGTTTTAAAGAAACAGTATTAAGTGAGAGGAACTTAACAAATCAGCATGCCTAATCCGTTTCTGTCCCTGTGAACTGCACTGCACATACACATGAGCATTCATTTTATTTTGGGTTTATACATATTAAACTGCCTAACTAATTAGCCTAAAAGCAGGAAAATGCTTTCAGTGGAAGGAACAATTTCTATGCTAATAGAGAGTCCTTTACAAAGGATGTTTTGTTCGGCTTCACAGCAGGGCATAAGGATGGTGTGAAAGGTTCCAGGCTGTTAATTGATTTTTGTATATCCCACAATCTCCTATTGAGAGTCAAAGGCACTAGCTAAAAGAGGTTGAAAATTCAGCAGTTTTAGGGTTGAAAAAACCACTCACTTGTCTGGCTGCTCCTGTCTTTGCCTATCCAGGTTTCCAAATCCTTCTCATGCTGAGCAAAAATGTGAGTGCTTGCAGTTTGGAACCTTATTAAGATGAGCACACAAAGGATTTCAGAGAGTAGTGTTTTATTGCAACACAAGTGTACTTGCATCTTCAAAGAGCTTTTGACAAAGGTCCCTGCGAAAGACCCTTAAATTAAACTGTCATCCAATAAAAGGGATTATTTTACTATTTTTTTATAATAAAACAAATTATTAATTCTGACCTGAATGAATTGGCTGAAATATAAGACTCAAAGGGTAGGAACCAGTGAAAATCTCCAGTCTGTGTTGGCACCCTTGTCGTTCAGGACACTTCTAAGCAATTTGGGAAGTATAATTTTCTAATAATTGTCCAGGAGAAAAAATATTTTGGAAAACTTATCATATGGTGGGACTGTGTAGCAAAAATGGCAAATGGACTGTTCATAAAGGGAAAATAATCAATAGAGGAAGAATAAATTACTCCAACAGTATGAATGCCATTGTGTATATGCTGTGTTGCTAAGTGGGCTGTTACCACTCAGACATGAGCACTGTTGATCAGAACTGAAAATTCTCCTTCAGTGACAAGTAACAATGGACTGTAGGGAAGTGTTCAGAAGGAAACAGAGGACAAATCAGAACACATTTTGCCATTCTGTAATTGCAAGGTACTTCCACATCTCACATCTGACATGCACTTAAAAAATGGATTTAGCAGAAAAAATTAGTGAAAGATGGCAGAGATTATCTGAAATCTGGAATAATTTCCATAGGAGGAGACACTACATAGATTAAGACTCTTCAGCTTTGGAAAAATGTATGACAGAAAGCTCTTAAGTCATGATATGCACAGAAGAAAGTATGGTTTGTTCATCACCTGTGACAACACGTGTAGTAAGCAACACTAGGTGAAAATACTAAGCAGCTGGCTTAAAAACAGAAGGAAGCAGAAACTTTTTCACTACTGTACAAAATTAAACTCAAGAACTTAATGCTATTAGGTGCTGTCAAAGTCAAGTGTACAATTCTGGTATGGCCTGTGCCTCTTGAGCCTTTGGTGCTCTGAAGCAGTCCAAGAAGGGCACACATACCCAGGCTGTGTCGGGTGATAGACAGCACCTGACTGCCCTTCCCTAGGTGAGGAACAAAAGGACACCATGAGTTGGGTAAGTAGGGCCTTACCTGCCTGTCCAGCCACCTGCAGGCACATAACAGAACCTGTCACTCCCCTCCTGACAGTAACTCTCCAAGGCATGTGGTATCTGCCCTATGGCACTGGCTACATAAAGGCACAAAGATCCGCTACTCCTGATATTAAAATGTTGGCTATTAAAAATGTTCTGGGTAAATTCATTGCCCAGAAATGGCTAGAAAATATAGCAGCACAGGTGTAATCCTTGCCACAGTGAGACTTTGAACCTCTGATAGAAGCCTCATAAGGCTACAGCGGGTGGGAAACTCATTTCTTGCCTTGACCCTCTACTCTGTCCCTTAACAACTGACCGACCACCAAAGCAGACAGAATAAAGAGCCAGTGTAGTCATCTGGTCTGATGCTGGGCCATTTTTATGGGCCTGGTGCTCTTTTTTCGTTGTGCACGTTCAGGCTATCCAGATGCAGCAGCAGGAGGTTCGGGTGGCAATTCAGTCCGTGGGGTATATTAAACACTGAATGCATGGGACGACACCTGTGCTCAGGACTGCTCAGACCACTTTTCCATGGGCTCTCCACTGGGGAAGGCTGGTGTGCTCCTTGTCAGGTGGTGCCAGTTCTGGGGAAGGAGATATCTGGGCCCATCCAGAGCTACGCTATTGCCTGGGCTCTGAGGTTGTGGGACATCCTAAAACTACTGTGAAGGCAGTGGGACCCAGGTGATACCTCCCTTTCCCTCACCACCAGGCAACGGGATAAAACATGGTAAGGAGCCAGCCAGCAGCTCTGGTCAGTCTGTGCTGCTGCAGAAGCAGTGAAAGGAGGGAGCTCCAGCCACCCAGAGTTACTTACAGCTTGTGGCTATCTGGTGGCTCCAGTGCTCCCCTTCCTCCACAGCCTCACCCTGTGCCTGCTTCCCCTAATCTCATCTCCGCTGCCCCGTCAGTGGCACTGGCAATCTGACTATAGCCTCCAGTCTACCCAAGGGACAGCATGACCTAGTTCGTGGGGAATTTGGCCTCATTCCTCTTCCTGTTCACTGTTCTGATGAAATTTTGGCCAACATGCAGAACTGCCCCCTCCACCAGCTTCCCTGCCTTTGAAACAAGGATATGAAATAGACTGCTTATAGACCTCCTTTTAGCTGCTTTGGGATGTGTTGATGAAAAGAGCTAGACAAAGTACTATGAGAGCTTTAAACAACTTGGGTCACAAAGTCCGTGTATAGACATTCCAGGGAAAAAAGCATCTGGTCTGCCAAAAGAGACAGCCTGCCTGCATGTAACAAACTGTTCTGACAACAGAAGCAGTGCATCTGAGGCAAAAATGGTGAGTTTGTCTGTATAGAGAAGGTAATACTCTAGCTTAAGATGGACTAATGTCTGTGTATTGATTCTCAGCTGCTCCCTAGAACAAACACCCAACCCAGGAAGGCAGCTCCATCAGTCCAAACTCATACCTGCCATGACCCTGAATTTCTGATCACATGCAGTGTATTCCCAAACATGTACACTGCATTGTAAAACAGGTGGCATGCACAACAACATACCAGAATAGCAGAACAATACCTCCTGTTGAATTCTTCCAGACCCAGACCCAGAGCAAGAAAAAAAAAATCTTGCTGTCAGTATCTTACAGAGTGATAAAATTTTTGGTTTCAAGTGACCTCTGGTTGTCTCAAGACTAACTCCTCTCCTGGAACAGGGCTGTTACAAAGAACTCTACAGATGGAATTTTCACCATCTGTCTGGGTCACCGATTCCAGTGCTGCACTAACTTGGTGACTAGTTTTTTTTTCTAATATAGAGCCTGAACCTTGATTGTGTTTGCTGTGCAGCAGCTCACACCTGAAACAGAACTATCAGCAACTGCTGCTGCTCAAAGAAGTGATCTCCCTACTTGTGCAGGGCACGGTAAGCAGGTCTTGGTTAGAAACGTCATTGTCTTCTGTACAAGCGTAGCTTCCCTTCTACAGCATCTGATCTACCCTACAGCATAAAAACCAGAACCAGTACTCTCATACTAACTAGCAATTCACTGCTCAGACTCCACTGCCTCCCTGCTGGGCTCCTATCTTCATTCGGTGGACGCCAGCTACACCTCTCTCTCTCCCACCGCTCTCAGCCCTTTTTCCTTCTCCTCTCCCATCAGCAACTAAGGGCAACACGTTGTTCATAGGAGAGGTCTGAGCAGTACATATTCATTCCCTTTCCCCTTGATTTTGGACAGGGATGAATTAAGATTACTTAATCTTATTTACTTAATTGCATCAGATTATTATAGGGAGACCAGAGAGCTCTGCCTGACCCCAGAGCAGACTTGGCTGGCTGATCTACCCCAGAAGCACCCAAACAGGGCAGATGAACGAGGGGTTGATGATACCGTGGACTCAAAGGTCCTTCAGTCTGAGCTGGTGACCACTTCACCTCTGGCCACACAGTAAGTGGCAGCAGTAATGCTGCACCTTCTGCTACGGCTGCTGCCACTACTGTGGTGCTTGTGGCCATGAAACCTCTTTAGGCTGGCATTTACGAGACCTGTGCTAGTGAGAACTGCGCTTCTGCCAGCACAGCAAGAAGCACAGCCTGTGACAGCAGCCAGGGTCTGAAGAGGAAGGCTGCTCCCATCCAGATTAGAAGCTCCGGAGCAACCCTCTCTGATAGGTGAGGCTGGGGTGGGGATGCCAAACTCTGGTCAGTCCACACCATCCCGGGCTGCCCCTCTGCCCGGGGCCCTCAGCAGAGTGGGTGCTGCAGCCCCAGGGGTGGGCGCCCCAGGGGAGGGTGCCAGCACCAGGCTCTGCACCGGAGGAAGAGAATCTAGGTCACAGATCCTTTTTGGGAACAAGTACATCTGATGCTGCCAAGGGAAACAAAGTGAACTGAAAGAAACAGGAGAAAAGGGAGAAAAGCGTCTTCAAAGTAACAGGAGAACGGGGAGAAATGACTCGGTGATTGAAACAGGGATAATACAGGAAAGGTAAGTACATGGATTCTGGCAGCATGCCCACAAAACCCCAGGCACCTGAAGGTTTCTAGGAATGAATATACTTAGGCAAAGATGTTGTGAGAATCCAGGGCTGGACTAGCAGGCAGCTGTGGGGGGTTGCAGGGTGGGAGCGGGGAGCACTGACAGAGCTCTGCAGGAAACTGAGGGCTTTGCTAGAATTGGGATGCAGGTCAGGAGTGGAAGAAACGGACACAGCTATTTGACAGAAAGGAAGAAAACTGAAGGGAAAAAGGAGCACTAAGACCTCCCTCCCCCTGCTCTACATGTGTAGCTTACGGTTCTGCGGTGGGAGAGGTATTTCCAGGAAGGAAGAAGAGGAGGAGGAGGAAGATTGGTTTGCTGGGCAGCCTGTCCTTCCCCATGGTGTAGAGCAGGTCGTGGTGAGTCAAGCAGACACCCAGCCTGGTCCGGCACTGCTGTTTTCCTGCACCTTGTAATTCTCCTCCACTCTCTGCTGGGTCAGCCTCTTTATAACTTCTCTCTGCAAACAGCCCAGGGGCTGGAGGAGATAAGGGCTGGGGGCCAGGACCCATCAGGAAACAGGGAGGCGGTAAGGAGGAGCTGGAACAGAGGGACAGTATTTGGCCAGAGACTTTCCAAGTGGGGGAAGGGTATTTACTGGACAGTGCTTATATTAGAAATGTTTGAGTGCCTTCTTTAACCCATCAGAAATCCATAGTGTTGGGGAAATTAACTGTGTCCAACACAGAATAATATTCCCTGTGAGCAGCATCCAATCAGGGCACTCTGATGTGGAGTACTGTGATATTTTAAAGTCAAAAGCCAGGTTTATAGGTATTTTAAGAACAAAAGGAAACCCACAGACAGAAACATTGCCCATATTATGTTAACAGAATACTGCTGTAGTTTGCTGACACAGTTGCTAACAGTTACTACGGGTTTGAAAATGAATGTCAGGAATATAACCCAAAATGAGGTGGGGTACTGGTTTAGATATGGAAATAAGTTCTGTTTCCACTGTGAATATGCACAAATATTACACAATGCCTTTGGGAGAAATCCTTGCCTCCCCAGCGTGATGATCATCTCCTGTCATTCAGTGTCACCTGGAGTGCAGATGTTCCAGGTGTCTCCTCCTTCCCTTTGCCAGATTCAGATCTGTGCTGCTGCGAGTCGTGTTTGCAACAGAAGTCACTCAGAAAGAGTGCTGATCTCTTAACTCGGTCTTCTGCAAACCTCTGGTTGTAGCAGCTTATCCAGAAGTTGAATCTTGTAAGAAAAAAAATTTTCTAAATTCTGCTGGGTCGTTGAACAGAAATACTCAGTCCAAACTATGAGCACTCGCTGAGAAGTCTAACTAGCTGGGGTGTTTGCACCAGTCCATGGAAAACTGCAAAATTGCAGCTGTAGGGCTGTCAGCACGCCTTCCAGTGCCTGTGCAGTGAAAGGATTTGGAACACTCTTTGTAGGGATTCATCAACTCCATGAAGATTTCTGTTGTGTACAAATAACCCAGCAGAGAAAATGCTTCAGCACAAACCACCTGGAATGCATCTACATGAAGCCACATTAATGGCAGAGATTCTCTGTTCTGTACAAAGGAGCCTATTAGATCACAGCAGCACAGGCAGCCCTGTTTGCTCTTTGCCTGAAGATTAAGCTTCGAAAAAAAGTGAACGTTAAGGCTGAATATTAGCTGTACAGTCTGTCTTGACTCTGATGTAGTAGCCAGAAAACTGCAAGGAAGAGCAGTGCAAAGGACCGGGAGATATGTCTGGGGATGAAAGGAAGTTTAAGATGGTGCTCAAAAATCAGGCACAGTCTCTTCTGGAATAAAATTTGACACCTATTATAAATCACAAAAGTTAGGAAAGCAGTCAGGAGGCAGCCAGTGTCTGCTGGGGGGAAGTTATAGAAGAAATGAACACATACTTACATAAACTGAAATATTTAGCAGATTATCAGTTAGAGATGGAAGTACTGATAAAAAAGTGGTTGCATAACTACCAAGTAATAAAACCCATTCAGCTCTTACTCCAGAAATGCCCTCTATCATCTGTCCTGTCACTCCTATCTCCCACTTCTCCAGTAAATAACTCATGCACAATAGCAGTTTTCAAAGCAAGAGTGTCCTGGGTGTTTGGAAAACATGACTCATCCCAAGTTGCCTGTTGTCATTCAGGCTGCGGTAAACTGAAGCCAAGAAGAAATCTAAATGGACACATGCAAAGTATGCTTTAAGGATGGGCATGTATAAATCTAAAATTCACACATCTACAGGGCCATCAAAACCAGCAATTCAATGGAGATCCTGTTCACTATCATTGTCTTCCTTCTACTAACCAACTTACCATCCAAGGTATAAAATAGCTGCTTCTCAGTCCCCCAGGAGCCACTTACCAGCTCGCTGACAAGCACTGACTGCCCTTTAGCTCAGGCAGTTGGTGCTTCAGCTGGTTTCTCTCTCACAAATCTCAGAACAGGTGTCTGAACTTGTACTTAGCTTGAAAGCTTTTGGGTGCTCTTTCAGACCTGAAGGAGAGATTGTGCATCTTCCAACAAGGCTAGCTGGCCTAATAAAAGTTATCGCTGCTGGAAAAGGCATGCAGCATCTTTGCCATACACGGTGATGGCTCCAGTGACCTGGCAGTCATGAGTTTAACCACAGGAAAGATGTTTCCTCTTATGATAATACTTCATATGTGTCTGAAGTTACTGCACATCTGGCAAATCAAGAGGCAATCCGTATGTATCTCATATCTTCTGTGACTAGACCCCATATTAAGCTGGTACAAAACCTGAGTGAATCACTGTGCCTAACTCTTGACCACAAACAACTTAAATTAGGCCTCATCACAGTAAATGGTTGATATAGTCAAAATGCCTATATCTAATTTCTTAGAACCCCCCAAGCAGAGTGGATTTCTGTACTAAATGATAGCATTCCTGCTTGGATTACACATGTTTACTCTCATGTTTAAAGGTAGCACATCTTTTGACTGTTCCACAGAAGGTTTTTGAAATTTATTTATTTCCAATGCTTTTTTTAAAACAAAATTTTATTTTGTTCCAAAGAGTACTTGGGAAAATTATCTTAATTTTAGATAATTCTCGGAGATGTTACAATGATGTACTGATAAATTACATGTGCTGACACGCTGGATTTCCTTTCCAGGTATTATTGTATCAAAATCAAACAAGACACCAGGTCAGTAAGAAATGGATGTCCTGGGAGCACTTCTACTTTGCCTGAATGTATCATTATGACTATTTTTTTTTAATTTTGTGAAGCATTTAATTCTCCATATTATTTCTTTTGCAGGTTCCTTTCCACTCGCACTTTAAAATATATTATTTTAAGTCGGACTGACTGACACAAAAGATGCAATTAATAAGTTAATATAAGCAGTCATAAATATTGATAAATTCCAGTCACAGCAAATCTTACTCTGGAAAGTTTCCTATAAGTCGTACGGTCTTCACTGCATTGGCTAGCAAAGATGACAGAAAAGTATGAAGTGTCCTACACCTTCAAGTTTATGATGACTCTGGAAAATAGTATTTCCCCATGAAAATAAAGTAAGATATTGAGCTGTGCAATTTTAATCACCGTAACCCAGTTCTGGGTTTTCTCTGACTTCAGTTTCTATTTTTCAGCTTTGTCGACAACTACCAACTGTCCAATAACAGACGTGCTCACCGGTCACCGCAATTGCAGGAAGAAAAGGTGTCTGTGGGTGGGTGTAAATACCTTTAGTACTATCACAACACTATTGTGTGCAGGAATCCTTGTCTGCCCCAGCATTCTTAAACAATTTTGGAGCCACTGTCACCAAAGGTAAATAATTCAAAGAAAGACACCTGCTTCTCTACTGTGTTCTTGTTCTGCCTCTCCCAGGACTGTAGCACAATGCTCAGCCCTCAGAGACAAACCAAAGCAATAAACTGAACTTCAACCTTTGGCTTTTAAGAAGAGGCTTGTGTTAGAAGAAAAAGCTGAGGCAACAGTTCTTGGTAACACTGGTATCATCCCCGGTGGGAAGCAGCATCTCTATCAAAGGAATGGCTTTTTCCAGTACCTACATCAGCTTTGTATGGGGACAGCTGAGAAAACAGCCACTGTAAAACCTGACATTTATATTAACAGCTCCAGTTAACAAAATTGTGTTAGCTGTTCAGCTAAAGGCTGAAAAAATTCCTTCAGGAGAAAAAAGAAATTCAATACCTTTATTTTAAAGGAAATCCAAAGAATGATATTAGTTTTTCCCGCCAATGCATTTAAACATTTAAATTTAAAGCAAAGAAACCCAAAGCAATTTGTTTCAAATGACAAAAAAAACCCAACCACATTACAAGAAAAAGTACTTGCATAAATTAATAGGAACAATAGCAACACCCAGAGAAATAAAGAAAGGTTTATTGTTGCGTGAGAGTCAAAATATTTCACAGGCCATAGCAAAGAGAAGGTCCTCTATCAGAAAACCTCAGATAATATGAACATTATACAGGTTGCAGCATGCAGATGAAGGAAGATATGCAATGAAATGAAACACCGTTAAAAAGGCTTCATCAGCTAAATTTCAAACTGAAAATAGCAGAGGGAATAAAGATTATCCACTTCAGTGGCCTGTTGAGTATCTCAACCTGAGAGAAGGGCCTGGTGGCAGATTAACTGCCCTTCCCAGGCATGGACAGCTGGGCTGCCACATATAACTCGTATTTCTGTGATGTCATATGAGCAAGTAAGTACATTCAGGCATGGCAAAGACATCAATTAATTACTCTCATTACAATACACTTTGTAGATTAAATTACAAACCAAATTGTCATCTGAGTTTTATAAATAGTCCTGTGACTCTTTTTTGTGTGATGTAAGGCCAGCCCGTTGGTATGGTAAGCCCTATACGAAGAAGGGTTTATCCACCTTTCCCAAATATATTATAACAAACCTCACCTCTATGTATAAATTTTATCTCGTCTTAAGAGAAATGTTGCTAAAAAGGCTGCAGCCAAAGCTGTTAACCCTCTGGCATGATAAATCTGCAGCGTGATACTTACAGGGCACAGTACACAGAGGGTAGGATCAGTTGTTGAAATCCCACTATTAAATCCATTAAAGGTAGTTAATGAATGATATCTAACAACTTAAAAATATATAAACAGGAAACTAGCTGTTTGCATGATCACGGGTATTTGTTGGATATTACAGAGAAATGAATATAAACCCTGATGTAGTAAAGTATGAAAAGCTATTTTCATGTATAGATTTGTGTTACAGACTATTGCCAAGGAAGGGGAGAGAAAAAGCCAAAGCATTTACAAATGTGTCTGAAAACAGAGCTTGGGACAATTAACTATACTCTTTTTGAGTTCTATGACTCCTCTTTTCAGATAGAACTTTGCCACATAAAAATACATACAAAATGCATATAGACTTTGTGTTTAGCTTTATCTTTAGCTGTGGTGTTATTGCCTGGGCTCCCTGTCTCCTCAGATGAAGTACAGGCATCTGCTGACGGCCCTGAGGCTGATGTTCAGGGCAGGTGGAATGAAGTCGAAGCCAGTCTCTTCCCAGAGGTGCACAGCAGCAGGAGCAGAGGCAGTGGGACAATTTGCTTCCAGAGAAACGCTGAGCAGACAGGAGGAGATAAATGCTTCCCCTGCAGGTGATACAACAACAGAACCTGTATGCAGAGGCACCGTGGGGTAGCCATGCCCAGAGACCATCCCAACTTCATGGCGCAAGGGCACGAGCAAGAGCATCAGCAGAGAAAAAGACCATACTTACACAGCATAGACCTTTCAAAGGTTTTTCCCATTTAGATTTGATGTTCATTTAGCTACAGAAAAGTGAAACCCCAAGTCACTGCCCCGCTCTGAATGGCTTTACTAGGAGGTGGCAGCAGAGGGCTGTGCCAATGGCACCCATGGGATGGCCACACTGCGCTGGGCCAGTGCAGCACCCACTTGCTGCGGCGGCTGTGCAAGGGGACTTGATCCTCCAGCAGTGCCGGGGAGTCGAGCTGGCCTTGCACCGTGGGCCCAGAGCCTGCTGGCTGCGCTGGAAGAGGAGGGAAGAGCTTTATGCTTAGCTCAGTTACTGGCTTGCTGGGTGACACTGGGCAAGTCCAGACTTCTCTCTGTGCCACAGCTAAGCCAATGTCATTTGGTGTCAAGACATGGGTCTCTGCCCAGTACAAAGAGGCTGACAGGTGTTTGTTGAGATTTTTGTGATGGAGGATGCTACAGGAAAGCACAACAAGAAGTCCTAATCGAGTGTGAGGCCAAAGAATCAGATATTCTTATGTTTAACCCTTTCCCCTACACCTCTGCTTTGTCCTGTAGCACCTTAACAGGGCAGAGCTGGTCATGTTTGGCCCTTCAGGTCAGGGAAAGGCATATGAGCCATGACGCTGTAGCACAGCTGGAGAACATGCTGTTTATCAGGACCCTTTTGAACATGGTGTCCTGCTACAGATCCTGCCCTGGCTGCATTACACCACTGCACTTCTCTCCTGTTTTGGGGTACCCTGCGCTGGACACAAGTGGTTGGAAGGGGCTGAACAAGAACAAGACCTTGGGGCTGTGAGGAGACAGCTGCGCAGCCCACACTCAGTGCACAGCCCTTCCCAGATGAGCTTTACCACAGCAGAGACTTCAGGTTACTGAGTACTTGTAGACGCGCCTCGCCTTGACACGAGGAACAGCGAGGGGAACCAGTGGGGCCTGGACCTAGTCACTTTTAGTAAAGTGAAGTAGGAAACATGTGGTGTGGTTACGCAATTGCCTCTGGTAATAACCCAGCCTTCACCTCCCCATGGGTACTGAGCCAAAGAGTGGGAGGCTGAAAAAAAATGTGCAAGTTTAGCACTTCAGTAGCATGCACACAGAGCCCTGTCAATAGACAGTATGGTGATTTTTATTCCACCTACTGCTGACTGCCTTGTTCATATTTACCTTCCCTTCACTCTCAAATAAGATTTTTTAAATCTCCCAGCTGTCAGATCATATACACAGTGTGACAACATGGGATCCAGGAGCCCTGCTGAAATCATGTTCTTATGGGGAGTCCTGGTTTGCTCAGCAGGAACACTGGTGTGGCAGGAAGGATGCCAGATCAAAAGGCATCAGGAGATCAAGTGTGGTGATCTTGCACACTGCAGGGAAAGAGCAAGAAGTTTCTTCAAAAGGGGAAGAGTGAGAAGTTTCCCTGAAGGAGCCTTGTCGGTCCTGTGTTCAATGTAATGCCTTGCTTTTTTCTTGACTCTCAAAGGGTGACCCTTTAGGAGGTCGAGCAGAAAGAAACTTCCTCTTGCTGTTGAGCTACAGGACTAGCTGACATGAGTGGCTTCTCCACCTGAAAAAAGTTTTGAGAAAACTTTTCACTGTTACTCTGAATAAAAAATTAAAATGTACATGAGTGATGTTCCTCAGGAAGCCCTTCTCTGATGCTACACGTTTCACAGCCAGTGGTGCCGGAGATCTGAGCATGCTGCTATGCCACCTGTCTGATGAATCAGATGGTGGCAGTCATTTAACTGCAGACAGAACCCTGCCTCCTTAATTGCCCACCAGGTAGATGGCAAATGAACTCAACAAAGAAATCATCAGAGAGCAAGGCTGAGTTGTTTCCTCCAAGCATCTTGACACATCATCGTTTCTTGATTGAAGGTTCCTCAGATACATTTCTGGTCTTCTCTGATCAGTAAATTGGTTGGTCATCACTCACACTTCATATTTGACAGAGGGAGGGTGGTGAGGAGAAGACCTGAACATCAACAAATAGGTAGCAAGATCTGGAAAATAAAAGTCAGACAGCTGAGGTCTTGCTGTGCCATTGCTTAACAGCTTGGCACTATTGCCTGTGACACTGCATTCACAGGCATCACAGGCATCACAGAGGATTTTAGCCAAAAGATGGGGCAACCGAATTCCCTGGACCAAGGACTCCTTTGTCTAATAAGAGTGCTGGGTAAACAATTGAGGGGCCTAAGCAAAATGCTGCTAGACTAAAGCTCATCTCTCTGGGAAGAACCCATTTGGTTTTTAGCTAGATTTTGCATCCTGCTGTCTGCATTGTGAATGAGACTCATCATCTACAGTAAAAAAGATTATGTTCAGTTTCCAGAACAAGTGTGGTCATTATAAATCCTCTTCTTCTTAGCTAGGCCATGACATCAGCCTTTAGCTGATCCTTCAGTCTGAACTCCACAGGAGCAGCAAAGCAATTCCCACGGTGCAAATAAACTCTACAAAGAAGGATTTAACACAAAGGGAAGTAAGCTAGACAGAGCGTTTTAGTCAAAGACATTCTCATGTGATTATACTCTGTTATCTCTATTTTTATTCATAAGAACTTGCATTTCAGAATAGCTTTTAATGTACTTCTAACAGAGCCATGCACAGACCTGTAAGAGATCCAGAAGCTGCAGGGCAGGCACGAGGGCACTGGCAGAAAACCATAGTGAAATTTTGAATTTCCTATTTCTCATGGTGTTGTTGACTCAGTCCAAGGATCTGCATAACTGTTTCAGTGGACACTTATATATGTCTCCATTCTCTGGCAGCTTTTTAAAGATGAAATTTGGAACGCCAAGCACAGTATATCAGCATCTGTACTTTTGAGGAGGCAGCAGTATGGTACCTCAGAGCACCTCTTGGGCCAGTGAGCCTGATATTCTAACACTTGGGGAAACAGTTTACTAAGTCTGTTAGCCTTGCCAAAATTAATTCTAACCTTCTGAGACCCAAAACACTCCCCAAGTCTCTGAGATTTAATGATATGATGCCTCAGGTTTATCAGATTACAGAGGAAGAAATGACATTCGGTTTAGTGGGTGTCCCTGTCTTGCTTAGTCAACATTTAATATACTTGCTTCAGTTTCAGGTGCATGCCACAAAACATGTAGCTGAAACAAGACACCCAGGTTCCAGAAATCTAGGAGATGTTGAAACACATTCTGAAGAATACTGCTGTTCCCTGTGGGATCAGGAGCCAGGGACAATATGGCTTCAAATTAGGAGGAAGAGTATGAGCATGGGTTGCTTATTATCTGACTGCAATCAACAATTAGCAGTTTGAGTCACAGGATAAAATCAGGTAATAAACATTACATTTTCAGCACGCAGAGGAGATGTCTGCAGTGGGAAATATGCTCTTGGTGTTTTAATAGTTCAGGTTTGGCCTAAGAGGAAAAGGAGGCTCCAAAAGAATTTTAACAATGCAACTTTTTTTTTTTTTTTTTTTTTTTTTTTTTTTTTTTTTTTTTTTCCCCCAGGACCTTGTTTCTTCCCAGAAAATGATGTTTGACTGAACAGAGTAACATTTGGCCAGACCTGGGGCAGATTTTTATGAGTTCCATGTGGGATGCTGAAGCCTTGGCTTAATTGGCCTCAAATCCTCCAGAAAGATGCACATCCTGTATCCACATCCACTCAGCCTGGTCTCCTTTTCAGCCTTGTTGTTGTAACTGTTGATTTCTCTTCCTTTAGTCCAGCCTGATGCTCGTGTAAATTGAGTCAGTTGCTACAGTTTAGGGTGTGTTAGGAAAATAAAACTCTTTCTTACTTCCCTCCTACTGTCAGTGAAGTTTTAATTTTGGAATTTAGCACAGAACTCTGCACTCTACACAAAGCAATTTCATGCCCCACAAATTCCTCATCTGTGAAACTTAATGAAATGGCTTTTTATAACATCAATATCATGCATATCCTGGACGGCCAGTCCTGTGCAGTACTAAAACGCACACATGGCTGATGGATCCTGTGAGTATTTGGTTACTCTGCTGCCTGTGGAGACTCAGGCATCTGGTTTGTTGAGGAGCCAGGTTGAGTAACTCAGAAGCACAAATCCCACTGACTCAGGTTATTTAGTGTCTTTTGCAATAAACAATAGATTTGGGAAGAGGAATATTCTGTGTTGACATAATGATTAATTTACATTGGAAAAAAACGCAGGTCCACCCACAACTTTAGAAAATTGCCTGGTGAAATGGATCCTTTCAAAACACACACTAACCCCCAGCACTTCAACAGTTTGCATCTCACTTAAACTCTTGTTCACACCCTTGCATGGCAGGTCATTTTTTGCCCCTACTTCATGACAGATCCATCCTTTTCTCCTCATTCCTCCATGGTGGATGGTCAGTCCCTGGTGTATGGGAAATAATCGGCATGGGGCTGGATCCCAGCACCTGTGGACTGCGGTGGGACGAACCCCAAAGCCCAGTGTGCCTGGTCACGGCCATCAGAGCCTCGGGGGGGTGGGCGAGGGCTACCAGCATGGTTGGTGCTCCTGGGTAAGAGAAGCCACATCCATATTTCTTTCCTGAGGCCTCCTCCCTCACCTCCAGCCATGGCTCCCTGACCCTTTGTCCCTTTTGCTGGGGCTCTGTAGCTCCACGTGCTCTTCCCACCCGTCCACTGACTCTGGCATGCTGCAGCCCAAGAGTGTTTGAAGAAAACACCATGACTCCAAGCATAATGAAGTGGGGAATGACAAGAGGTGCAGGAAAATGGGGAGGCTTATCATCTCTTTTGGACAAACTCTCGCCAGGCTGGTGGACCGAAGGCCCTGGCAGGGGGAGATGCAGGATGTGGGATCAGGCACTAATGCCCCTTTCTTCACCCTCTCCTCTACTGAGCATGATTGGGGTCATTCCATGATGTCCATACATAAAACCCTACTTTTATGCCATAGAGGCAGAGGCAGTGCCCTTGCAGGGCTGAGGAAAGGTGAGGGGCTGTTCAGCAGTCATGGGCAATGAGTCCCACCCTCCAGAGGTGGGAGGGACTGAACACGCTGCATATCACAGCAGTTGCCAGTGGTTATCAGCTGTAGCTGGGAGAGGAGGCTGAGTGCTGCAGGCAGGACGGATATATTTCTCTCTTCATCCTCCCCCAGCCAGCAACCATTACATGTGGACTGTCATTAAAATGCCTGGTCTGTGACACTGAATAAAAGCCAATAACCAGTGTAAAAGGGAGGTTTATTGATGGAAAGGGATACATGATGATGATACAGATCTGGAGAGATGTGCCATGAAAGAAAACAAAGAATCAGACACTAGCTCAAACGATGTCACAGCCTCCTGCCGTGATTAGTAAAAGGGCCTGAAATGTCCTTTTTCAGGTCTTAATGACGGAAGAAAATAGAGTGCTTGACCACTTGTTCATTTATGATGGTCCTGCAGGGAGAAATCCAAAAGAAAACATCCTCAATGAGAACAAACCAAGAACTTCAGGATTTAAAATATGGTTTCAGCATACAAGGCAGTCTACCCCTTCTGTGCAAAACAGACAAAAGCTGAACCAAGGTCTGGCAGCAAGCTGTGCCCGTACCCCTCCGGAACTGCTCAGCAGATGACATCCCGCATAACTGCTGCGCTGAGCAGGACACACACCAAGGCAGCGTTGTACCTCTGACTAGACAGCACACCGCCTCCGTGATTCACATCATCTCAAGTGTGTTCATAAGATAACCTATCAACTGTCTAGGAAAGGCCTTCTGTAAGTCCACGTGAAGCACCTTGCCCACGCCTGTGACACATACACTTCGGAGAGGAGGCTTTCCAGGATGGCTGTAGGTCAATTGTTCCTTGCTAAGTGTCAGTGCTTTTGAGGAAACTCTGAAAGTATTACCCAGTCTTTCACTTACCTTTTTCAATCATTAGTCCATTTCTGCAACAGCGTCTTTGCAAGGTGACATATACTGAGCAACAGCATACTCTTCTGGAGAAGGAAAGTAATATTCCCATTAGCCTGGAAACTAATTCCTGTGCCTTTCCTGGAGGTGGATATACCCTATGCATGCTTAAACCAGAGATCCTTGAAGTCTCCTTCAGACATGCACATTTTTGTAACTTTTAGTCATGTCCACTTGTCAACCTGAGCATGAAACCAAGCTCACTAAAGTAAAATGAATCTCTCCCCTGGCACTAGATACAGATTCTGATAGAGTTCAGAGGAGTGTTGGTTCTAGGGGGGCTGGTTCTGGGTTTCCCTTAATGCACGAGGTGTTTCTGCTGTCACTGTCCCTTGTCCGGACTTCATACGGGTTAAAATCAAAGACCTACCTGTTTCATAGTAATCATAGATCTGCACAGGAGATGGCTTGGGATGGGTCACTACAAAGTCCTGCTCAACTGAGAAAGTGATTTCTTTCTTTTTCTTCTGTGAGATCTGGGAATGGAGTAACAAGAATCACATAAGTCCTTTTATTTGTACAACACCATCTGGAGCAGACCAGTGCAGCAACTGATAGACTGTATATTCCAAACCCCACTGGTGCCACACATACAGATGTGTGTAATAAACTATTGTAACTAATTTGCTAAATTAAGCAAGGTGGGTATGATAGGTTTGAATGATCTGTAAATGTTAAACCACACTATTCTGCTGTCTAAAAGTATTATAAAGGTAGAATATGGTACCCTGTGTGAGTTTTGAAATGATTTGCAGTTGCTATAACCCGTATTACAATGAATGTTTGAATATATATGGATAAAATATAAAGTATGCCATTCGGTTGGAAAAATGTAACTCCTTCTCGGAAACCCCATCACCTGGAGCTGATAGGTAAACCGCTTCTCGGAAACCCCATCACCTAGAGATAACATGTAACTGCCGCTTGAAGAAAAGCCCGCCAAAAGATGTGATCATGAGACTTTCAAAGGATCCAATGGAAAAAGAGCAGGACAATCATCTGACAAGAGGATTGGTTAAGACAGTGGTACAGGAGTATAAAAGACACTGCTTTTTAGAACTGGGTGTGTGTCTTGGTGGAGCGGAGACTCCCGGCACACCCAGCGCTGCTTTGTCTATTGTTTCTCACCTTAAATAAATTGAACCCAATTAAAAATACATTTATATTTAAAATTGGCTCGTTTGATTATAACATGTGGGACATCATTATCTAAAATACGTTTGGAGAGTCCAAAGTGAAACTGAAGCAAAGAATTGTAGGTTTCTTATCCTGCTTGTATTACCTGATTCTGTAATTACTACACATCCTATTGCCAGAGAGGGGAAAAAATGTCCCAGAGCACTGAAATTAGTTCTCCAGGACTTCCCAATGGACAGGATGAGAAAGTGTGGTATTCCAAACTCCCTCTCATTTCAGACATGAACATTATGTGCCACCAGGAAACTAGGAATCAGTGCACATCACTGGGATATTGGCTTCTGTTATTACTTCTGCAAGGCCCTAAGAAAACATACTTTTACTATGTAAATTTTGATCCAGGGATTAGATTACAGTTTAAATTTCAGAATGAACATGAGAGGGAAATCTTTCCAGAGGAGATCGGAGTAGTGTTTCATGTCCTGTTGGGAGGACTGAGGTTTATGAGAAGCCTACCAAGACAACATACACACAAGGTAACCTTTTTCCTTCTGTTTATCTGGTATTGACTGAAAGGAGAGAGAGTTTGGGTTAATTTATGTGCTTTTTTTGTTCAATTTATTTCTGGTTGCTGGTAGGGTAGGCATCAATTTGAAGATGTTTGGAAGTTGGGATGTTACATGCAGTTTGAGGAGTAAGCAGCTTAGTGATTGCAGGGGAAAACTGTTGAGGAAGGGAACATGATAAATGCACTTTGTAGAGCATATCCATGCTGTAGGTGCATCTGTTACGTGTTGTTTGCATCCTTTGTGAAAATCAAATAGAAAGTGATCAGAACTTACATTTTGAAGATAAAGGAGAACATGACTTTTCTTGTTTTCTACTTGCATCACTGTTTGACTGCCAATGAGCTTTAAAACAAGGAAATGGAGATAAAGATATTTATAACCCATTAAAAAACAAGTGCTACCTCAGACCCTGCCACTGCATGGCTGTGGGATTCATTTTAGACAGGCACCAAGGGCTGGCAGCTGTTTTTTAGAGTTCAAATGTTGCTGAATAGATGGATAGGACTAAACAAAACCTGCCACTTGGCTTAGTGGGGGGCACAATCACTTCCCAAGTGCATGAGAGGCACTGCAGTTCATGTGGGGAATGCTGCCTGACTTGGGTGCTGTATAGTTTTCAGAATTAGTCTGACAGATTTCCCACCCTCTCCCTACCTGGGCAGTGCCATCTCCCAGTTGCAGCTGCCAGCTGGGCAGGCTCTAGCTGGAACCCTTCCTAGTTTTTAATGTGGGAAGGTCTGTGTGCTCACAGGTCCCCTCAGGGCATTCCCTCCACCCAGTGATGAAGATGGTGCAGCCATGCAGACACC